GCAGATGAACTATTTCAGCATGTACCCAAGAGGCCGTTCAGCTGTACAGCCAGGGGAGTTTTCTGTGATGGGGCAAAGCTTTCGTAGCTGTGCTCACGTGAGGAATGCTGTGCTCTGTGTTGGGTAGGTGTAGTCAAGATTTCTGCTGTAAGGGCAGAGCAGGTAAACAAGGCAAGTTTTAACTTGATCAGATCTATAGTACACCTAAGGAGGCTTTTGGTGATGTCCAGCAGAGAACATGGGGAAAGAAAGGGAGCAACTGTGCAGTGACTGGTGCTTTAGCACCTCCATGCCTCCTGCTGTGCTGGCAGTTTGTACATTTGCACAATGAACCAGATCCTGTAAAGCAACACTCATGGGCAAAGGTCAGCTCTGGGGTGCAGTTCAACCTGTGCTTGCATGAGTGGTGCCATCTAATCTGGTACCTCTGAAAGAGGCATCCCAGTGGTGAGCTTGACTTGCTTGGAGATGCTAAACATTTCTGAGCTGGTGCTGCCTGAGCATCTGCAGCAGGTCCTGCTGCTGTCCTGAGTGTAGGGGCTTCCACTCTGCATGGGAAAGGTGGTGAGGTGGGACTGCCGGGTAGCAAGTGAATGCCAGTGCCCTTTTAGTCATCTGTTAGCATGCAACTGCACTGCAAGTTCATCACTATTTACATGACCAAATAAGTACTGGCTGAAGGATGTGTGTAGCTGTGTTTTGGCATGTATGTTTGACAAGTTGAAGCACTTGCATCTGACCTTTTAGGAAATTATTGTAGGTGGTTTTTAAAGTGCATAATAAGTTCCTGTCCTGGCTGGACACACGGCAGCTGTGAGCTCAGGCTACCCTAAGTGGTTTACACAGCATGTGCCAGCGCTGGAGTCTGATCAAGCTGAAAAATAACCTAGTCCCCAGACATAGTAGCCTGTCCTGGTTATTTTTTAGCTATGTGGTTCCTTGCTGCAAGTCCCTCTTGCAGCCGTGTGGGCCACGTGTCAAAAGGTGGTATAAGGGCTGGGGTGAGCAGTCAGGATAGGTCCCACTCTTGCGGCCGTCAGGACGCTGCTCAATTTGTGCTGGACTTGGTGTGTACTGGAGGGCCAGTGGCAACTGGTATGGGTTTTGTGCCTTCCTGAGCTCCTGTCCAGATTCACACTAATAGGCAGCTTGGTTGGCAAACCCATTGTAGGCTCCTTAGTTCTCCTGTAGCAGCAGCACCGTTACAGTGCTTCTCGGCATCTTTGGGCATATAAGTGCTTTTGGAAACATAGATCTCCCCCTTTTCTGTAACCCCTCCCTTTTAGTTCCTTCTTCGAAGTGCAACTTTAGCTGTTAATATGGTAAATATTGGGATGTGTAAATATAGGCATATGTAAATACTGTCAATAAGGCACATGGTGTAGCTGTGCGATTTCCCCGCAGGGAATACGGCTGGGCTCCCAGGGATGCTGCTCGGAACCAGCTCTGACCCTATTGGAGACTGAGGCAGCTGGGACACCCCTCCTGGGAGCCCTGCAAGTGTGGTCAACCTCCGCTGCAGGCAGAGGGACCTGTCTGGGGAGGAAAAGGACTTACTAGGAGGCTCATGTCACCTGAAACACCCCTTCCCATACCTGTAATCCATTCTGATCAGGTTCATTTGATACTCCTCAGTTAGTTGTGCTAAAACTATGCAGAGAACAGAAGGCACCCTGTGATGGGCTGAGCCAGAATTGGTTGTGTCCAATTGCCCTGAAAGATCAAAACATCTGTCAAGTGCCCTGTTGTGAGCTCCCCTGGGCATGCAGGCAGTGCAGTTTGGAGGTAGAAGGTAATATTGGGAAGCAGCAGGTACCTCTGCCTGCCCTCATGGTCCCCAAGTAATCAAAGGATTCCTGATAGAGAGGACTGATACTAATCTGGTACTAAATTTGTTAATATGCTGGTGACTACTTTGGAGATGGAAATGGTAAAGTTAAAAGTCTATCTGTATTGTTTAATGAAAATGGCCTGTGTCTATATCTGCATATGTATCTATCACTGTGTTGTCAGCAGGTTTTGGGGAGGTTACGTATGAGACTGGGCAGTGTAGTGGGAGGTGGGAGCTTGCGATTTGAGGTGCAAAACTTTACTGAGATCAGGGAATATGGGTTGGAGCAGGGAACCCAAGGAAATTACAGCCCCTGCAGTCATCAGAGCTGTACTAGGAAAACAATTAGAAACTGGGTTTGGGTTTGTACAGCCCATCTGTATTGTTGGTTGGGTGACCTGGGAGGTATATGGGTCTGTGCTGATATCTTGTCAACATCTGCATGTCAAGGGCTAGGGGAAAGGTGTGCATGGAACAGGATGGTGCATGGGGTTTCAATTTGAAGGACGGAACCCCTTTGCTGGAAACCAAGGACTATGGGTTGGAGCAGGAACCAAGAAGAGTGACAGCCCTGCCACCACCGGAGCTTCCCACACCATTGAGTACAATGTAGTGACTTACACAGGGACGTTCGGTTTGTCATTGACGATGTGGGAAAGGGACTGCCCTGTAAACACACCTCAGTAACACGCTAATTCACCAAGTCCAGGATCAGGGACCCGTTTCCTTTTGATATGTAAGGTACAGTTTGGCTAGGCTGACCTGGCCCTCCATGATCCAGGGTGGTGACGGAGCTGATCTGCTCACAACCTGGAGCAGCAAAGCTCCCTACCCAGCCTGCAGGACCAATACACAGCTGTGTACCACCACTGAGACACCAAGGCAAGAGAAGAGTAATCCCTGCAGGCACTGCCTGGACAGCACAGGGTTACCCTGAAACCTGCAGCAGCCCTGATCCTGCAGCTCCCTTCCAGGGGAGTGGGACTGTGGGGCTCAGCACACTGCAGCCACACAGACCTACAAGCCCCTTGGGAGGAACCTGGCAGCAGCACTAAGTTTCCCATTCCAGGAGCGTGGTCCTCCCAGGAGGTGAAACAGGTGGCTGGGCAGTGTTGTGCAAGGAGAGAGGATGGTATGAGCCTCTCTGGTAATGCCTTGGAGTGGGGCAGTGTTACATGTGATAAAGCTCCTCTGCCCACCTGTGAAGGGGGTCAGAGACAATAGCAGGAGGGGGGAGCCCAAATCATACCCTGCTGGGCTACTCCCAGGTCCATCCCAGAGGCCATCAGCCCATCACAGGCCCATCTGCACAAGCCCAGAGCAGGTACACACAATGGCAGGTGGGACCCCAAGCCAAGGACCCCTGAGCGCTGAACACCCTGTCCAGGCCCCTCCTGGGGTTGTTCCAGGAGAGCCTCAGCCCTGGTGTCCAGGTGTGACACCCATCACTGTGAGCCACGAGGAGCAGCTCTCCAGATCACCTTTTGGACTAAGGAGGTTGCTGCCAAGGGCTGGGACGCATTATGGGGTGCAGGGGAAAAGCAGTTCAGGATTGCACAGGATTTAATGGGATATTTAGGGGAGGAACCAAAGGTGGGACAAGAAAGGGGTTTTGGTGATTTGGGGAGGAACAAGAGTGGGGAATATAGGGGTAAGGGGATAAAAGGGCTCAGTTGTGTGTAGGTAGGTGGCTGGTCAGTGTGCTTGTCTGGCCGTGCCCTGCCCAGCACAGTCTGTCCTGTCTGGACAGCAACTAGAGTAGGACTTCGGCCTCAGGGGCTTGTATGTCCAGGGGCCAGGAACTGGGCAGACTGAGTGCCTAAGCGCAGCTGCTGCAGGATCCACCTTGTACATATATTTTTCTCTAATGGACTTCCATCCTGTCAAGCCAGAGACAGGAGCAGGATGAGGTCATTGCTGCTGTCCATGTTCATGTGGGTGCTCTTCTGTGATCTGTGTGGCCAGCCACGTATATATACATACATGTAGTAGATATGTGTGCTCTGTGTGCCTGCTGGGAACATCTTCAGCCCAGGGGAAAAGCAGTTCAGGATTGCACAGGATTTAATGGGATATTTAGGGGAGGAACCAAAGGTGGGACAAGAAAGGGGTTTTGGTGATTTGGGGAGGAACAAGAGTGGGGAATATAGGGGTAAGGGGATAAAAGGGCTCAGTTGTGTGTAGGTAGGTGGCTGGTCAGTGTGCTTGTCTGGCCGTGCCCTGCCCAGCACAGTCTGTCCTGTCTGGACAGCAACTAGAGTAGGACTTCGGCCTCAGGGGCTTGTATGTCCAGGGGCCAGGAACTGGGCAGACTGAGTGCCTAAGCGCAGCTGCTGCAGGATCCACCTTGTACATATATTTTTCTCTAATGGACTTCCATCCTGTCAAGCCAGAGACAGGAGCAGGATGAGGTCATTGCTGCTGTCCATGTTCATGTGGGTGCTCTTCTGTGATCTGTGTGGCCAGCCACGTATATATACATACATGTAGTAGATATGTGTGCTCTGTGTGCCTGCTGGGAACACATCTTCAGCCTCGCTACTGGTTGGATCTGGGGGCACGGAGCAGCAGCAGCAGCCTCGCCACTCTTGGGCTGTTGCATCCAGATGATGTATTTTCCTCTAATGCGTGGCAGCTAGATTTTTAAGGTACTTCACAAATGTTTGTTCCTACCATCAGCATCTAACAAACTTTATGGCTTCTTTCCGTTTTTATAGGAAAAAACACCACCCTGGTCCAGACACTGAAACTTATCAACTGATGGGACAAAGAGCTGAGACACTTGGCTGTACTAGGACACTAAAACATAGGGTTTAGCCAAAGAAAATTTCCCCAACGTGGAGGCTTACACCTGCCAAACCCTGTAGCATTCTTGGGAGGCTTTTCTATACTTCTTCATTTCCAGCCTTTCACACATCATGGTATTCCTTTTGACTTCTTTTGCAAGCTAGCTCTGGCTCTGCCTTCTGCTTCCCCTTATGCTTTGGTTTGGGTTACCCAGTGTGAGCTGCTGGCTGTAGGCTGTTACTGCATTTCTGCCTCCAGCTTCTACTTGGAGGCTCCTCTTGGATGTTGTGACTGACCTGCTTTTTCTTTCTCTTTACTGTATCTCTCTCTCCCCCCAATCTGTCTCTTGCATTCTCTGTTCTTCCCACCTCCATTACTGCAGGTTCATCATGCCTAGTGGCATATAAAAAGACTCCACCTCCTGTCCCACCTCGGACCACGTCAAAGCCGTTCATCTCTGTCACTGTGCAGAGCAGCACTGAATCGGCGCAGGACACCTACTTGGACAGCCAGGACCACAAGAGTGAGGTCACCAGCCAGTCGGGACTCAGCAATTCTTCGGACAGCTTGGACAGCACCAGGACACCCAGTGTCACGAGGGGAAGCATCGTGACTCCAGCAAGAGAGACTCCAGAGTTACCCCAGAAAAATGCAACTTTGAAAAGTGACAAAGGGACTCTGACTAGCGAAGAGCCTAAAGTGGAGAATATCCCCAAAAGAAAGCTGTCGTCTATAGGAATACAAGTATGGAATAGTTTGTTCTCCTTTGTCCTAAGGAATGTCCTTAACCCATCCATTTAGCATGTGCATTTTGTGTGGCCAGGTGTGCATCTGAACTCACTTAGAATAGCAAGAGAAACTAACTGCCTTGTCAAACTAACTTCCTGTGTTCTCAAGGGTGAAATACAGCAGAAGCTTTCCATAACAGACCAGAAAGGACTAAGTTCTTTTAGTACAAAATTAAAATGTTTCATAAAGCAGTGGGACTGTTAATTGGGTGAGTCCCTCTAAAGAGGCCTTTTGCTGCTAGTATGCCTGTGCTGAGCCTGTGCTCTGTACTATGTATTACTTAACATCAATCTGCTCCTTGTCCATCATGGTTCTAGGGACAACTTTCTTCTGAGAGTTGGGCCCTTCTACTTGACATCCATGTAGTATGGGCTGCTGCAGTACAAAATGGTCCCAGGGCTGTAAGCAGGAGGGAGCAATTCCTTGCTGTCCACTGTTCCCAGCAGGTTGCTGCTTCTCTTGCTGGAAGCATTTAACTCTCTGGAAATCGATGGAAATGAGCTGTTGATTATATAGTCAAATGAGAACCCATTGAGTAGCATCAATCCATGCTTTATTCAGCAAAACTTAATTCATCTGCAATTGTAGATGCTTCCTGTGGACAGATTTCCCAGTTACAGATGGCTGGCTGCTGTGAGCACTTGTTCTGTCCCAAAGTGCTGGTTCAGTGCTGCAGGCTATTACCTGCAGATAGGAACTTGAGCGCTTGGGCAAGTCCAAATGCAGGATCTGGGCTTTGAGCCACCACGTGTGTGTGTGCACTGAATAAGTTCTCCATTGGCTTTACAGTAAGGCTAGCTGGCCAGTTAGGTGTATGTGATAGCGAAGGCTTTTCTGCAGGGCTAGTGGGGCAAAACACATGCTGAAAGGGCAGCAAGGCAAGAGAACTTGCGTTGGAGAGGCTGATTGCCTTCCTCTTGTCTTCCTTTTCTGAGCTGGTTCCTAAGCCACCTGCCCCAGGGCCTGGATTTCCTTCATAAAACCTTCTAACCCTCTTATCCAGAGCTATGGAGGGTGTCAATCCCTGGGAGAGAGGAAGCTGGGCTTTGCTGTCAGTCTTAATCAGATCACTGCCCTCTCTTGAATCTCTTGGCCTTTGCCAGTGTCAGATGCCACACATGCAGCTGCACCCTCAGGGGGACACAGCCCTTCCCCAGCATGCCACAACCATGCAAACAGCAGTGGATGGCAGAGCCGAGTGCTCTTAGAGTAGATACCTGGCAGCAGCCTGGTATCTACAGTCCTGATGTATACATCTGGACTGTATCTACAGTCCTGATGCTCAAGTGGAGGCAGACCTGAGCGGTAGCCTTGTGCCTCTCCTAAGACAACCCTCCAGTTGGCATGTGGTGTCAGCATGCTGTGTGTGTGTGCAGCACTCCTGGTCTACTAATGTGAATTCCAGCAGCAAGTTCTTGTGTCTGTTTTTGTCTGTATTTTTTTTTTTGTTTAATAAGGTTGACTGCCTTCAGCCAGTGGCAAAAGAGGAGCCTCCTCCACCAGCCACCAAATTCCAGTCCATCGGGGTACAGGTAGAGGACGAGTGGCGGTAAGTGAAAGACGCAAGCTTTTGTAGTTTCCTTTCTTTTAAATTGTGCTTCCCCCACTTTGGCTTAGACCTTCTCCCCTTCGTTGTTCCAATATGAGTGGTGTTGAATGGGGGCCCATGGAGAGCTCTTCCTCTATAGCACACACCCGCTGCAAAAAGCACGTGTTCTGTAAACAGCCAAATCAATGGGAGTTTGAAATTTAAAAAAAAAAGTACAAGATGCAATTATAGATGTGCGTCAGTCCTCTTGTCTGAACGGCCTATTGCAGTAAGCAGGCAACCTTATAATTTTGTCTGTCTGAATGTGTGGTGTGTGTTTGTGTGTGAGGAGGGGCAGGGCGGGCAGGGTGAGGCTCAGCTGCAGGCATAATAAACAAATGCATTTCACTGTCAGTGTGTGAGGCCAGCCAGGCTGAGTTCTGCTATTTAACGTTTGCTTTTGATCTCTCTAGAAACAGCCACTCTCGCAGCATGTCCTCCAAACAGGACACAGACTCTGACACACAGGAACTTAATAACTCTAGCTGTAAATCATCTGAGAGAAGCCTCGCTGAGTGCCCCCAACACAACAACTCCGTTGGTGTTGATGCCGCTACCAGGCAACCAGCCAAGCCCTCACAGATTAAGAGAAACCTCTCCTATGGAGAAAACAATGACCCAGCCCTGGAGCCTTCTTCTCTCCCTCCTCCTGACCCCTGGCTTGAGACGTCCTCCACCTCACCGTCAGAACCCACGCAGCCAGGAGCCTGCCGGCGGGATGGGTACTGGTTTCTGAAGCTGCTGCAGGCAGAAACAGAGCGGTTAGAAGGCTGGTGCCGCCAGATGGACCAGGAGACCAAAGAGAACAATCTCTCTGAAGAAGGTAGGTGTCATCAGCCTCTGGACTCTAGGCTAGAGCACCCTAGCATCTCCTCCCTCAAGAAAGAGTTGTAACTGAGTATTGGATCAGCTTTCTGCAGTTAAATTGCTGATAGCACACAGAGTAAGGGTAGAACCTGAAGATGAGTATGAGACAAGGAACATTTTTTCTTTGGAAAGGATAAGGTAACTTCCTCTAGCAGATGAGGTAAGAAATAATACTGTGATGCAGCACAGAAGAGTTTCAGGGGATGGTGCAGCTTCTGACCATTCAAAACTGCTAAAAGCTTAAATGGATTGCTTTCAGAGAGGCTGTGGAATCTTTCTCCCTGCCTAACCCATTGTACTCAAGCGGGCAGGTGAAAGTTTAGTTGGCAGTGGGGCAGAATGAATGTGATTTCTGAGCTTGTTCGATCTGTGGAATCAGTAGACTTGTTTTCACAGCAAAGAGGAGGTTTCTTCATATGGGAAAGCTTCACTGAATTTGTACTAAATACACCAAAAGCACGTGCACAGGGAACACAAGGCCACTTGATTTTATTAGGTTCAGTCCCAATTGGGCTTGTTTCATTATTTTCAAATGAGTTGGCAAAACCTGTGCTTCTTGCAGTGAAAATCATGCCTATGGTGCATACAGAGTGACAGAAGTGGGGGTGACTAGGCTGCAGAGGGCAGGATCTTTGTTTTGAGTCTGGTTGATTTTTATTTTTTTGACACCTGAGAAAGGTGAAATAATGGTGAGACTCAGTTATAGGTCACTGTCACTGCTAGGGCTTGGGGGAGCTAATCTCTAATCCTATTGCACTAAGATGCTGCACTGGCTGCCAAGCTGGACAGGCAGTGCCAAGGCTCTCCCTGCCTCAGGGAATGCCCTTGTTTTGCCTGTGGCAAGAGTGCTCTGGCAAGAAAAGACACCAAGACCAGTGTGGCGTTATATCTGTGACCTCTTAAGAGCAATCTCCTAGTAGATTCTGTAACTGGGAACTTAATGGGTACAGAGAGAGCCCAGCTCACACTTGTCCCACCAAGATCTATAAACATTCAGAACTGATTCCATAGGTGCAGCAGCAGACTAGGGAGGAGAAGGGGGGATTGGTTCATCCCTGTTCATGGTGCAGTTGCATGCACTGTGGGTCTCCCAGCACTGCCTTTGGAAGGGAAGAGCCCATACAGTGTTTTTCCATTAGTGAGCAGAGGAATGTTGCCATACCCAAAGCTTCTTGGAAAACCCACTAAGAGCAGCATAAAGTCCTGGGTATTAAAAGCCCTAGCCTGCCAGTATTTTAATCCCTTCTGGTAAATGGAGGTTGGAGACCATCCTCCTGCCCCTTGCCACTTCCACCTCCTGCATGAGTGGAAGAGCAGGTTGTGATCTGCAAGCAGGTGCCAGCAGATCTGCTCACTGAGACTGTGCTGGTGGCTTGTCTGATGGGCTGAAGGCAGTTTAAGGTACTTTCTGAAAACTCTGATGTAATGTTCTCAGTCTGGTCTGCTTTTGACCTGCTCTAGAAGGAGCAATAATAGATGGCAAAGACAGACGTAGATTATAGTTTCAATACATCTCCTTTCCCTGAGAGCAGTTACTTCCTTGGGGGTCTCTGAAACTCCTTTTCTAATGAATCAAGAGTGTTTCTTTGCTCCAGAAACACTTGAGTTCATTGCTGCATTTAATAGTCTGTTCAACTGAGGTCTTTTTCTTTCTCTCCTCCATAGTCTTAGGAAAAGTCCTGAGTGCAGTGGGCAGTGCACAGTTACTAATGTCACAGAAGTTCCAGCAATTCCACGGCCTCTGTGAACAAAACTTGGTGAGTCTGGATCTATTTCTCCTGGGTTTTGGGAGGGGGATGTATCTCTTTCAACAGCACTATGGGAACATGATCAGGTATCAACAGGCTACTGTCACTGTAAAAGCAAAGCCAATGCAGCTGTAGCCTACAACCTGACCACCATGCCATGATAGATGAATGCTAATTTAAAACAGCAGCTGAGCAGTGGGAGGCTGACTGCCTCAACCTCTCTTCTGAATAGGCAGTTCTTGGGCTGTGCTCTGCTCAGGGATGAGTGTTTGTGATTCCTTTTGGTGCTTATGTGAGCACAGGGGAATTTTCTTGAACTGCTGATCAGGGCATGCTGAATACACTGAGTGTCTCTGTGGGTCTGAACTGTCAACCAGCCATACTGCTGTGTGTTCTGGAAACTACCTCTTTCTTGTTACTTCTAAAGGGGTTTTTGAAAAGTCTGCTGTTCTCCAAACATGCTTGCTTTGCATGTACGTTATGTGGACGGTAAAACTGTCCCAACAGGATTGTCCCTTATTGGTCACAAAGCACTGTTTGAATCGGATCTCTTCAAATGTAACACAAGGGTTTGCCCTTGCTGAGAGCTGAACAGGGCTAATGTGGGGATGGGTGGGAATCTGCGTTTTGTTTTTCCCTTCAAGCTTTATCATGGAATGGATTTTGCAAACTTCCTCAGAGGTGAATTCCCCTTTACTTGCAAAAAAAACTTAGATAAACTTGGGAAGGAGGAGGAGGGGGTGAAGTGCTCAGCATCTGCTAGCTGATCTCTGGCTGAGAGATTAGCAGCAACACCACTAGCTGCCAGGCTTTCAACAGAGCTTTGTGCTGAGGTCTCCCTTTGATAATTTGTGCTGAGTTGCTCAGATCTGATCCCACGCTTTCCTGAGACAATCCAGTCCTATGATGGCAGTTCAGATGTCTCAGAACTGGGAAAATTCTGTTCTTGGGAGAAACTTAAGCTACTTAAAATTTTTCAACCTAGCCTGAGAAATACTGATACTTTCAGATTGTTTTGTGGGAGGATATAGCAAAGTAATTTTGCTCGTGAAAGCTGTATTGGCTTCTTTGGGTTGCTGTACACTGGCATGCAAGTTCTCCAGGTGTCAGAGCTGTGCTTTGCATCGTGTTGTGTCCATTTCCATTATTACCCACCCTGAAATCAGGATTTCTCTGTAAGAAACCAGTGTTCTAGCTCTGAATCACATGCTGGGGAGCTTCAATTGGAGGTTACTGCTGTGGGATTAGCGCTAGCTGGGGAAGCTTTGGGGAGAATGGAGCTATTGCTTTCTGCTACAGAGAGTGTCGTCTTCAGGATTCTTCTTCAGGCTCCTATAGGAGAAATACAGTCAGGATCTCTGCTTCCTGATCTTTGCAGAAATAGTTTTGACTGTAAATGATGGCATTGTGTCTCTGCATATTTTAGGGCTGGTGTCTCCTGTGGGTTCTTGACATTTCAGTTGTCAGGCAGGTAAACTTAGAGGGGTGAATATGTAAGCTGTGCAGACTGCTCTGCTTGTCAGGAGGGTATATTGTTTCTGAAAGGGTTTGATTTTTTTTTTTTTATGCTTTCCCTTCTAGAACCCTAATGCCAATCCCAGACCCACAGCCCAGGACCTAGCTGGGTTTTGGGATCTCCTGCAGTTGTCCATTGAAGACATCAGCATGAAGTTTGATGAGCTGTACCACCTGAAAGCTAATAGCTGGCAATTGGCAGAGACACCGGAGAGAAAGGTGAGTGTGGGGCAGTTGAGAGTGGCCAGAGCACCTTGCAGACATTTTGGTTATCTGAGGTCTATTTCTGTCTGCAAACAGAAGACCTCTAGGGCTTTTACCATATTGCACTTGTGCAGTGTAATCTCACAGCCTTGCAATGCACTGAGACCATTCCTCTTGAGTAATAGTGGAAACAATTTTGTACAAGGGGGGGAAAAGTGTTACGATGGAGAGAGACCAGAGCGATGAGTGGTGTATGCTTAAAGCAGTGATACAGAGGCCTCTAGTGTTACAAGCACTGTATGAATAGGTTTTAACTATTCTTGGTGTCTGAGTAGTATAAAAAACACCTGCTGGAACCTTTTGAAAATGCAGCATAGGCTGTGTCCCTGGGTCAGGCTTTGTGACTAGACATTGAGGGTAGAAAGGAGGACTATGGCTCTGGGCAGGGTGGCATATTAAAATTTTGCAGTTCCAGATCAAGTTCAGTCTTCACGCTGCCTGTGCTGTGCTCTGACCTGTAGCTGAGCCAGACATAGTCTGCAAATTCTAGTCCACTTCACAGAAGGCCTCTGTACCATGAAATCCAAAATGGCACACTTCTAGAAACTGGGGAAGCAGATTTTGAGTGTCTTGCTCAAGAACTGCTCCTGCTTCTTTCACCTGACAGCCATTCTCATTGCTTAGTCCCTCACGCCATAAGAGTCCCCACCATATCAGAGAGCAAGCTTCTGTATGTGCATTTTTATTTTATGTTTGGGTTGTTCCTTACTGTCTCCCTAAAGGAAGAGAAGAAACCACCCCCTCCAGTGCCAAAGAAGCCAGCCAAGTCCAAATCCCAACTGAACCGGGACAAAGCCTCTGATTCAGACAAGCAGCGCCAGGAAGCTCGCAAGCGTCTTATGGCTGCCAAGCGGGCTGCCTCTGTCCGGCAAAACTCGGCCACGGAGAGCGCAGATAGCATCGAGATCTACGTACCCGAGGCACAGACCCGCCTTTGAGCAAAGGGGCAGAGGAAGGAACCGCATGGTTTTTATAAGTCATTAAAAAGGAAAAAAAAAGGTTCTCTCTAAACTAGTGTGATTTATTCAGTCTAGAGACAATGAGCCATCCTTGAAAAGGGCTCCTGAGTTGGCTTTTTTCTCTCAGCTTTAAGTAATGAAGGATTTAAAAAAAAAAAAAAAAAAAAAAAAAAACCAAAAAAAAAAAAAAAAAAAAAAAAAAACACCAAACAAAAAAAAGAAAAAAATACCCCTCGTTTTCTCACTGGCTGTGGTGTTGCTGAATGGACTGAACAGACTCCTGGAAACTCCAGCCCCTCGACTTGGAACTTCAGTCTTTTTACTTGTTCTATCTAATGAGAATTATTAGCTTGTTTACAAGAAGAGGACAAGAAAAAATGAAGCCTTGAGCACTTGCCATGCTGTGTTCTTCCTCCTCCTCAGTTCTGTTCTTCCTTCTCATCCTTTATTTTTTCCTCCTTCTGCTCCCTTTATCCCACTTTTGCATGGCTTCGTTTACTGTATTAGAAACAACCTTTCTTCCACAGAGCTCCTGAAGAGAACCGCCCATTCAGTGTATACTACTGTTGCACTCTGCTAGCAAGCAGCCTTTCTTGGGTTTTGTTTTCCTTTTGATGGGGATCTTGGGGTGGGGGGAGGATGGGTGGGCAGGGACAAGGCAGTGGGTTTGTATTCCTCCGTTTTTATTGAAGTGAGAGGATGACAGGGTCTGTGGAATGTAATGCAGAGTTGTTGAAACGCAGCCCAGAAGCAAATGTGCAATAAGCTGGCAATGAGGGAAGGGACAGTGCTTGGCTGGCTGATCCCAAGAGAGCAGTACCCTACTTCAGGCACAGGAGGGGAGCTGAAGGACCACAGAGCAACTACAGGCACGATCCACACATGCTTCACTTTGATTTTTCTCCTCTTCCCTTTACAAAATTATTTTCCTTGAATTGCTTGTTGAGAAAGAAGCTGCTACACTGGGGGACCTGTTTCAAAGTGGGCTGGGGAAGGGGAGGGCTGGGGAGAGTGTAATGGTATTTCAGGGTGGGAGGACTGGGTTTTGTACAAAGATGAAGGCACAGGTAGCTGGTGGTAGGCTGCCTGCCTGTATGTATGTGTACATATGCACATATACACTTAGTAGTACCTGTACATTTAATTCATACACACGTATACATGCCCATACGCACAGTGCAGATGGTGTACCAAAAGCACCTTGGTGAGAATGGGCATATGTATAGCATATATTTTTACATGTACTATATCTAGATGTGTGTAAAAGTGTGTGTAAAAATATATACCCTGTGTGTAATCAGATGACTATTTTTTCCTTATCTCCCTGCTCTCTGGGTAGAGGAAGGATTGCTAAATATTTTTTAGCCCATTTTCCCCTTTGTAGGTCTCCTTTTCAGTCTGGCTTCTTGAAGCCAGAACTGCCACCACTGGATTCTTTGCCACCCCCTCAAACTAAGCATCTGGCCCCATCCTGAGTGATCTTGCTGGGGATTTTTTTTTTTCCTTCACTTGCTTGAATGAGTTGGGAGATTGTGTGCTACTTTCATGGGGGTGGGGGTAGAATCCCAAAGAAGTTTCAGTGAGGGTGTTGGTGATCCAGAAGGCAAAAAATAAATAAAAGTGAAATCCTGAATGATGTCTGAGTGACCATTGTATACTGTCCAGTGTTGTCCATGCATAGGTGCTCTTGGAGATTTCTGCCCACCTACCATAAACTGTTAAACATGGAATTAGATTCCCATTGAAGCTTGGCCATAACGTAACTCAAATTCAGCATTGTGGGATGAGGCACTGAGCTGTTGGGTTGCACTGTCAGGTTTTTGGGGAGGATTGTAAAGATGCGGTTTTAAACATCTCTTAGCATTGAAACTGGGAATGCCAGGGAAAGGTGGGGGGTTTTGTTTGTGGTTTTTGGGTTTTTGTTTTGGTTTTTAAATTTGCTCTTCCAAAAGCGGGGAGCTGGCCTGGAAAGCTGCTTTTCCCAGGCTGGCAGTCTGCGGGCAGCAGCCCATCTCGCCGGGTTGTCAAACCATCTTCGATCCCCTGGGCTGAGATCGCCCCTCGTCCTCAGCCAGTCGCACCGGGCCCTCTGCGTGTGTGTTGTGGGCTGCAGCCAGGACAGATGAGGCGGGGTGTTGGTGCTGGCTGGTGGGGGGGGGGGGGTAGGCGGGGTGTTGGTGCTGGCTGTTCGGTGCGCGGGTCTCCGGGGCGAGGCCGGGTAGCAGAGGCAAGCGCGTGTGCCTGCCCGGCTCTCATTTTGTTTCCTGCCACCTCGGAGGAGAACTTACAGCAGCAAGGACAGCTTGCCGTAAAAAAACAATAAACAAATGCGGTCTGAACTTGTAGCTGCCTGCAGCCTCTCTCCCTCTTTATTCTCAGCAGCGGTGTCCGTGACTGGTCTGTAACGGGCTGCGCCCAGCAGCTGGGGCGAAACACGAAGCTGCTCCGCGGCGGAGCGGCCCTGGCCTGCAGCCACCGGCGCCCCCAGCAAGATGGCAGACCCCTGGAGGCCGAGGGGTGGGCGGGGCCGTGCAGGGATAGGTGCTCTGGTGGCAGTCCCACCCCCCTCCTGCAGCCTCATAGGCCACTTGCCTGGGAAGTCACGCCCTCTTCCAGTCACGTGGTCTGTGGTGACTGGCTGGCAGGACACCCCGCCCACACACACAGTGGTTTACCCGGACGTCCATCAGACCGGAGGGCCCTGCCCCTACTCTTTATCTCTTTCATTCCCGTGGGTTTATGGCTGTATATAGTTAATTTCTACAGCTTTGTAAATGTATATATAAAAATATATACACGTGTATACAAATATAGAAGTATATCTGAAAAAAATCTGTATTTATACGTATTTATACATGCCTTTGTATAAATAATTCGATACATACGTACATTGTATGTAAATATGTATGTATTTTTACATCTGAGCGCTTCTGGGTCCAAAGGAAGCGGGCAGCCAATCACGGGGCTGCCTGAGAACACGTGGGTATGATGGTGTCAAGAAATGGCTGTCAGCCAATCAGAGAGCTGTATGACGTTTAACAAAATGGCTGCTCCCTGCCATAAAATGGTGGGTGAAACAAAATGGCTGCCCCCTGCACATGGAGGGGGTGGGCCTTCTGTGTCAAACGTACTTCCGGGTGAACCAGTAGGCGGGGTGGCTGGTCCTGCCAGCCAATCACAACGGACCGTGTG